TGTGCTGCTGTGGTGCACGATACCTAGGTCGCATTACGAGGCGCTTATCTCAGAATTCGTGAGCACATCCCGGCATGGTTTTACCAAGACGAAATGAGATCCTCAGACAGCTCAATCATGTCGCACCTGTTTGACTGTGGCCATATAGCTTCGGAGAATGACTTCAAAGTCATTTACTCACTACCTGAACACTTCTCCCAAGGTTTTCGCAAACAGCTCTTATCCATCACCGAGGCTATCTACCTTCACCATCTGAAGCCGGAACTATGTGTACAAAAACGGTTCATACGGCCGATACTACTACCTTGGCCAACTGACATTAGCGCTTGGTTATTTGGTTATTACGTTACCTACCTAATTACTTCGGACTACTGTTTTGTGTACGCATATTCCTTTAGTTCATTTGGCTTACCATCTGTATCCCGGTCAAGATAACGATTTTGATCGTTCAAACAGCCCAGCAGTCTATTCCAGCCCGATTTGATGCTTACCCCACAATCAGTGCTATGTAAACGTTTGGATCTCATGAGAGTTTACTAAAAGGAATTTTTTTACCTGAAAGTGCTTTTTGATACTTTACGAAAACCATTGTTTGTTCGATTCAACCACAGCCAGTGGTTTTCCCAGGGACCAGTGAGCCTTCGAAGAATGATATTCGTGATGTTTTTAGGACTTGGAAACATGGCTGTTGACTTTCGATTTTTCGCACCATCTCCGTTGACATTTTTTGAGGATTGATACGTCCGTTGACGGTAGCCAGTATCTAGACACCTCTTCTGTGTCCCAAGCGGTGTTGAATACGGGTGCAACCTCAGTCAATAAAGCCACCTTCATCTTTCAGAAAAATGGAGGAAGGACATCGAGTCCACGAGACTTGTTTCTTTCCAACAAGAGAAACTCACGTCTGCTTTCTCCCAAAGTGATAACATCTTCCCACCTCTTCTCAGGTTACTCAGTAAACGGAACTGTCGCAGCAAACCTGGTGAACAGCACCGCAAAACGTTCCGACTAACGGTCTAATCGACGCGGTTGGGAACGGATCACATGTCCATGTTATCTCGCTCACTGTGTCTCACTTACCTGTGTTTCGAATTAGCTGAGAAACATTCGCAATAGCACTGGTTTTCCCATTCACCAATTTTGCCGGTCAACTGGAAGACTTTTTCATTCGGCTTTACAGAGTGTCACGGACACGCTGTAAACTCAGTGTCCATCGGAATCCGTTTCCTTGTCCTGATCGAAGTGGTCGATATCTCATAAATCTGTACACAGTTTGGACTACGGCAGGTATCCAAAACATTCTTTATGACACACTAGTGATGATTCCAGTCAGCGTTCGACCCACTAACCTAATTCGTCAATGACAATTAGTGGACTAATTCGTCATGGTATTGTTGGACGGTAGACTGCGGATTCAAATGACAACTAGGAGGCTTGAAAGTTACGCACTTCATTGAAGCGAGAAGAGTGAGCGTCTGGCCTTCGCGCTCTAGATCATGGCCGGATTCCAGGCTTTTACTCCAAATTGAGCGACAGTTTTGAACTGATCTGTGCCATCCAAAGCTGCTGGTAGTATAAGTCAAATCGGATCCAATTCATGGAGGAATTCGGTGAACGCTGCGAGTGAAGAGTAAGAGTTGGTCCTCCCTGTTGCCAGATCTCACCCAGAGTGCAAACGTTAAACTGATCAGTGTGAAATGAACCTTTGCTTTGGGAGATGAGTTATATGTACCGAGATCAGCGGCAGTCTCTTGTTTGAAGGAAGAGGAAGAGAGTTGAGAAAGAGCAAAAACGTTGATGTTCCTGTTGCTCTACTTCTAGTATTTGCTTTAATAACGTGGCCCACAAGGCGGTGGTAAGCATGCCCAGCCCGGCGTGTGACTGCACGGACGAATTCGGATTTGCTTGATGTCAGTCACACTCACCCTTCGAAGATTTAGTACGATCCGCATGGGTTCTTTTCGACCTACTATATTACGTATCTGTGCCCCATGTTGGGGCTGATGTTGCATTCATAATGCTTCTTCACTGTTCAGCTCGGAGAACAGAACTTATGGACATTTTGCACTTATCGCGGGTTCCTTGCCAACCAACTTGCTTCATATGCTATTTTAGCGAAGAGTTATGTTCGCATAGGCGTATTTCAAATGATTGGCTGTTGTTTGACATCCCCGGTGTGGCTGTGCTTGATGTGCATGTTGACGAGGTGCCCACCTGTCTATTACCCACTATCGTCCATACTGACTCTAGGAGACAGTTGGTCGTTGCTAAAGGGGACGGGATGCACGGTCCTTGTGGCCGTGCTAGGCTCGAAGAGTGGTTCCATGCACTCAGTGTGGAGCGGAGTACGCTCCAGCCACTGCCTTGTGTGCACTTGATTCCCAAATACAGCGTGCTTGTGTTTGCCTGTGAAGGAGTGTGGGCCAGGTGCGTTGATGAAACGTGGCTCCCATCCACATGCCTCCCGGTCTTATTCCTTCGGGTTTACACTGGATATGGGGTGTGTGGATGGAACTGTGGGTGGTGCAGCGCAAGCCACCCATGGTCCCTCTGTTTGACGAAATTCTGTCAGAGGACACATGTAGACCTAGCACATATGAACCCTTAGAGTCACGCATTACAAATGATTTGAAGATTCACCTTGCTGTTTAGTGGGATTTGGCTTCTATAAATTCACTGTTCATCCAACTTGAGCATGTGTTTTGCTGCGAAATGAACTTAGTTTTCGGCAGATGTTGACTGGGTTTGTCAAATTTACGTCATAGCAAGCGGTGGCAGACCTTTTCGAATCTGGTCCATTTCGAAACAGGACATCTGCGGATGCACCATGAATGACTGGCGTTGCATTGCTCACGGCTTCTTCTGCATACCTCTTATACAGGTAGATCCGAAGAAATAAGAGCTGAGGGTCGGCGGATGAGTGTCACGAGTGAGTCTAAGCATGCTCACGCACAACGCTCAGGTACATAAGTTGGGGTGTGTGTAACGCGTGAACTTGGTATTCAATTGGCGGGAACCAGTCGCTGAGCCTTGATCACTCCCCGTCTTCTCGAACAAAGATTTGCAGGCTACTATGGATGGCACCCACAACGGAACGTCGAACACATTCATTGCTCACGCGGTGCTCCCACCATGACTCTTGAATACCAGATTCGTGAGGTGCAAGCCGGGTTTCGTCGAGGTCGGGGCGGCATCGACCACATCTTCACTTTGCACCGCCATGTTTGTTGGTGACCCACTGTTGTCCTGTTTCTCGACATAAAAGGTGCCTTCGATTCGGTTGATCTATGTGCCCTTTGGGACTATCTGCTAAGAAAAAGTGTGCCCGATAAATACGTATTCATTATCAGAGCGTTGTACGCGCATTTTTCGGGCAGAGTGAGGGATTATGGCAAATTGTCACCGCATTCCAATATCTCCAGCGATATGAGACGAGGTTGCCCGCTGTCATGTTTCCTCTGTAACTTCGTCTTTGACGAAGTTATGGAAACGGCGTTCGTTGAATAAGACCTACATGATATATTGCTCCTTCTTAATTTGGAGTATGCAGACAACATCGTCTTCATCTGTGGCAACTCCCAAACGTTCCAAGCAACACTGGCTGTCAATCGTTTTAGGCTATACAAACTCCTCCAAGATTGGCAGGGACCTATCTCTGTGCTGACCCTTGATGATGATCAGCTAGAAGTCGTTCAGAAATGCATACCATATGCTCGAGGCACTTTTGCCAATCTCCGTCACCTGCGGCGCCGGCGCAACAGCACTCTCGCCTTGAACGGCAAGGTTTGCAATGTAGCCGTCCGTTCAACCATCCTGTACGATCGCGAAACCTAGTCCATCAAGTCGATAAACAAAAAGGACTAGTTACCTTCGATCATTGGTGTCTTCACAGCTTAGCTCATGTCTGGTGGGAGTACTCCGCGAACCATGAGTGTGTTATACGTCACGTATTTGGTGCAGGAAGAACGAGTGAACCGCTTAGCATCGTTATGTCACGCATCAGGCTTCAATGGCTGGGCCACGTCTTGCGCATCCCATCACACCGACTCCTTCAACGTGCGTTGTTTTGCTGCCGAAGGTGCTGTTGGAAGAGGAGGAGATGCTAATCGATGACTTGGTTAGGAAGAATGAAAACTCTCACTTCGATGTTGGCGTCGGTTGATGTTTGCAGACTGCCGGGCTAGTGTTCGAAGGATGAGGAACATGTTTGGTTGGATATACTTGTTGGCACATCGAAGAGCTGACCTTAATGGCGTGTGTGTCGTGAGTTTCTTTGTCCCTCTCCCTCCCCTTTCGCTTCTCTATCCAACTACGATCTCATACCGGATAGATAATGTGATACTTGGCCTTATATTACCTTTTTAGTTTCTGTTTGTAGTGCTCAATCTTATCTTTTTATTGTGGCACATCGGCTGTTGGGTGTTTCCCACCCTTAGCCAACGTGTGTACATGGCGATGACATTCCGGATGTGGTCACACCATCGTGGTCGATCCACTTTTATTTCTTTTCAACGTATGGTCTAATATTAATTTGTGACATTCCCACCTGGATCATGTCCTGTTAATGCAGCTTCTACTCGTATACACCAGCCTCGGATTATCACAGCAAAGTATTTTTAGCACTGAATCCTTTGTGCTATGCTCCTTGGCTTTCTGTTAATACTTATAGTGACTTTCATGTTCCATCAAGCGTATTTCTCATCAATAGAGGCATATTGTTTGGTTATTTATGCGGGTGTCCGCCATGTTTTGGCTTCTTTTATTTACTTCTTCGCACACGGCTCGAGCCCTCAGTTATTTTGCGAAATCACTGACGGACTATGGACACAGCCGTTGTGTCCACTCCTTTTCTTTTTTTGTCTTTTTCTCTACTCCTTTTATTAAGCATCTAATAGTTACTGAGTTCCCCTTAGCAACACTTAGAGTGTCATTTGTTTTCGAAGCCCATCACTGTAAAACCCTTTGATTGTTACTGATTTCCTTCTTTTCGTATTTCCTAGGGTCTACCGGAAAATCTTCCCGTATCTACTTTGGGCGATGTGATTCTACAAGACCAATTCATCATATGGGAACCAAAGCAATTGATTAAGAAAAGCCGCGAGCGTCGTGTTTTTCTCTTCGATCATTGCCTTCTTTTAGCGAAAGAGATCCCCACACAACCCGGTGAACATAAAGCCAAGTACGTGTACTCATTCGTTGTCTGTTAGCTGCATCCGCTCAATTGGGCAACTCGTTGGTGAACGCTTTTACCCCGTTTGGTGGACAGTGCATTTTCTTGTTGCGCGTTTCCTATTGTTATTTCACTCTGCCGCCTTCCAGACAAGGCCAGGTACAACTAGATTAGCTTGACGTAGAGTCAGTTAGTTCCCACCGAGCTGGTGGAAATAGCGACCCCTACGGTACTTATTTCAACTTACAAACACTGCTTTCACGAATGTGGCTGCTAAGCACTGGGTAAAAAACCAACAATATGCTGGTGCACCATACCGATGCTTCGCCACCACGATGAGGCCATCACCAGTTGCGCGCTGGGCAAAGATACCGCAAGATTTTTCACACCTACGTGATTTCGAACCGATGGTCTTTGGGTTGCAAGGCAGATCCTTCATCTCTTCGGCCACAGGTAGACACCTGAGCACTGTGTACCTATTTGACACACCATTATATATCAGGTTTCGGGATAAACAGAAAAGTTTCTCGGAATCATATTTAATCGGTTCTGTCATTTCTCTCTAACATTTTGTTCATGCATTCCTGCACCAAAATGTTAGTCAGAAGAGCGGACCGTTTTCTGTGCCGTACGAGTCACCATCTCCAATCCGTGTTCATACCAGCATCGACCGTCTGCGTCTGTCTGTCGATTACCCACTCACATCCACTTGTGAGTGGGTACCCGTTCTGGCCGGAATACACATTTGCATGCTGTCAGGTAGTCGTGTTCTGTTGTGCTTGCGTCGTTCGGCTCTGGGCCATTATTGCGTTCGCAGGCCAGCGTTACTTCCGCACTTGCAGACTTTAACATTTTCTCATGGAACTTGTCTCCGGGATTGAATAAGGGCACCTTAAATATGTCTTCTCATTCATTTTTTGATCTCATTTTCGCTATTGCCTCTTCACGTACTAGTCGAAGAGGACGAATTCGGCACAGATTTTATTTCCAACATCCCAGAGAGATAGCGACTATGTGCAACAGGCCAAAGCAGAAGGATTTGTGGCACGAATCGACCGACGTGTTGCATGGGAGTACTTGATTTGTTCACTATGTTTTCTGACCACTAATGTGGTCCCCTTCGTATCGTCCATTCAAGTGACAACGCACACGCATGCATGAACGTGTATGTCGAGCAGCCTTTCGCTAATAGACTAGTATCTTGCCATCTCCATGGATGCTTGTGACTCTTGCGGTTCACGTGAGTCATTTTTGCGCGCTCACCAACCACCATCGATCACATTATCCGATAGGATCTGTTGCTGTTCGTGATCATCAAGAACACCATTTTGCTCCGACGAACTTAGTTGTTCCACGGTACTCAACCGAATGTTTCGCGCTAGATCCCTTTGTGCATTTCCTTTCTTGGTTTGACTGTAGTTGCAAGATATGTGAAGTTTCTCGTCTGTCGAGATAGTAACTTACAATCATTTTTCACTTTCGGGCACAATGCTATGTTCATTTCTTCTTAATGATCCCCTCTAGAATCGATAGATTACTGCGTTTTCATTCGAATAACGCAGTGTGCACTTAGCACCTCCATGCCGCGTGAATCGTGTAGCATACCCCATCTGGTTACCCGAAATGACCTCTCATTTGCCAGCCAACGGAGTTAATGTTCAAGTCCTAATCCTGAGTTCAGTCGTGTAGACTTCACTGGTTGTAGCCGATTACCCAATAATGTTCCCAGTTCTCACTCCAAGAGGCGACTTACTGCGGAAATCAATCAAAATCAGATCGTGTTTTGCGACTCCCAGTTCGGATTTTCTTCTTTTTTGTCTTCTTCCCACGGGGTTTATTTATGGATTCCAGCCCTGATCAGTTCACATGAATGATACAGATTTGAACCTACAATACTGGGTGTTTGAAGCGGGTAACTCCCGAGTTGACAACATTACGTCTGGACGGTCATATCTTGGACAGCACCTGTTTGCTACGCGTTTTCCGTTGCGATTGTTCTGTCCTTACTGCGCTTGTCATACGAGTGATCATCACACCGCGCCATATTCCCTCGTGTTGGATTGGGCTAGAAGAGACCGCTTGACAGCCAGCCCTCGGCCTTTGCGACCGTATGCAAAATCACGTCTAGCTCCCGTTGACTACATGCTTTTTCCTGATTTGTGCTCTAAGGACAAGGAATCGCGATGTTTCTAATCGCCGTTAGTCGAGTATCTTGTGCCAGATTGCTTCTATTCATGTCTTGCGTGCAGCAGTATTTATAATGACGATAATGAATAAGCGGCGTGTGGAAAAGGGACAGTTGCTCAAAAATCTATGTGAGAACATGTGATTCCGCGTGTTGGCTGAGAACCCCACTCTTTCTCTTCTTCCGGTGTAGATGTTTACTTGGGTGACTAACTGTCAAACCTACAATACACGGAATGTTCACCTCCTTTTACATTGAACCCAGCCACTTCCCAGTCGTTAACCACTTGCAAATGTTTAACGCTGCACCGATCGGCATACTTTGAACCTTCAAATTGAGATGTAAATACTTAGGCAGCTATATTAGCGCCTTTGGATTACAAGATTGGATCACGAACCGTATATCCAAAGCTCGAGACGCTTTTACCTATCTCCGCCACCTGTGGCGTCAGCGCGATTTCAATCTCACTCTAAAAGGCAGACTTTTTAACGCTATATGCGTTCTGTCTTTCTGTACGTTTGTCAAATTCAGCCCGTCAGTTCGACAGACATAAAGACCATCATAATTTATAACACTTGTCAGAAACATCACCCGTTTTCCCTGTCATGGAATATGCGCTCCATGTGGTCGGCCGATTTATCTGTCTTGCTCATCGCATCACTTCTGACGTTTACATCGCTGATGAGATTAGCACACGCATTCTTAAGGTTAGGACACCTTTTCGAAGCCTCAGTGACTTAGGGGGCTGCTGGATATTAGCGTTTTAATTTATTGAGGGGTTCACAATACAGTTATGTTATGTCTAGAATGAAGACTCGGCAGCAACACACCAAAAATATTTTAAAGCTGAACGTATTCGACCACTGACGCCGTCTCATTGTTGCTCAGGTAAGGCGGAAGAATCTAATGCTTAACGGTGCAGTTCGTCATCTGGTGTTTAGCCGCTTCGTTAGAGTGCCTATCTAATTCGAATCGCCTCCGTTGTTCGGTCGTGTGCTCCGCATACCAACGGGTCAGCTGCCACGGCTTGCGCTCTTTGTCATTACTGCCGCCGGGTGGCATGGTGAGAAAGCACGAAGTGACACGCCGATTGGTCGAAGTATTGTCTACTGTCTTCCTGCACGTTACCTCTAGTAACGCGCTTGTCTCGTAATATTGCAGCGATGGTTTGAGCCTGCGTAGGAACAGAGCGACCCTCGCGGTATCCTTGGCTCATGTGAGCCCAGTGGTGGTTACGCAGCAGCGAAGCGTCGGTACTGCCTACCGACGTACTGCTTATGCCTTTCTTACTTTCTACTGTCATCCTGGGTAAGGATCTCGAGATTGGTCGTATCAGTGGAGTTACATAATATTTCGGATACGGCGCGATCACGTAGCCATTAGTGCTCCCGTGTTCGCTCTACATTTCTGGCTATTGGCTACATCACCTGATAATCTCATTCCCCCATAATTATTGCTTTGGTGCGGTGAACTATGGCAAATTGATGCTTCGCACCTCTTTGCACAGCTCTCAATCGATCAAGCAAAGTGAAGCCGGCTACATATTTAACATTCATGTGATGTCAGTGTTTTGAATCTGGATCCACGAGATGCGTACAAACATCACGAACCCAAGGGCAAATTGAGCTGACGATTAGCGACTTCTGCGCGCACAGAGCAGGACTTTATCGGCTGACTATCATGGTCTGCGTAAACTTATTTACTCGAGTTCGAACTCTTGAAATCAACTTGGAACCGATCGAGCAGTCATGGTTTTTGACCGATTCACGATCAATTGTTCCAAACTCCTTCTGAAGCCGCACATACCGAGAGTTTCCATTATGATAGATAACCGTAAACTCTTAACCCAACGCAAGCCTTTTTTCCTTTGCTGAGTAGATATCTGGCGATTAATGATACCGGTACTTTGTCCTTTGTTGCCTCTCTCGTCCGGCATCCTTTTCCATGACAAGTGTCCATAACACCTCCCTTTGGTTTCCCTATTTTTTAATTCCATGCGTTAATTCTATAGACTGCCGCCGATATATATGCATTATATTATCTTTAGTTCTATGACATCAGCAGTTCATCGGCATGCCGTACCGACGTTTCGCTGCCACGTAACCATCACCGGTTGCGCGTGGCCTGCCAAACCACCCAGAAGTACGCTGATTCGAACCAGTGATCTCTTAATTACAAGACAGATGTGTTATGCTTTCCATGACCTAGGCCTGTGTGGTTTCATCCTCTTCACTGCATATCGGGTCCTGCAATCATGCTACGGCCCATCACTGTATTGTTTACGATTACCTCGGAAGTTGACTCGGGGCTTTCGGCTTATCTGCCATTTCCGCACCGTTACCCTTACACAATTGTCCTTCTGCGCACTTCATCCATGTGCGCGACCCAGGGGCGTAGAGATAAACGCTTCAGTTGGCAGTCTGCCAACTGGTTTATCACTGTTCCGCTATATGGACTCGATAACATCAAACAAGTGTAGTTTTGCGAGTGAGCAACACCTAATATTCGCATTGCTATCCTCTTTCTGCTCAGCATACTGTAATTCAATATGAACACCGTTACTAGGTGGCTGGTGTCTTCACTCTTCTCGCTTTGACTCGTTGGCTTTCTTATTCCATTTGTCAAAGATCATTTCCCACTTAATTGTGCCTTCTCGAGGGCATCTTGACTCTGTCTTTGTTCTACCCCGTTATTAGATGCAGTCCCGACTCTTCTTGACTTACAGTTACTACGCTTTCTGCTCTGAAATTTCGTTCGTTTATTTACCATGCTTCACTTTCTGTTCTCCCTAGTCGCTTCAAGTTAGTAGCCTCTGCTAGCTTGCTGTATGGTAGATTTACCGCTTACAATAAGCTGTTCGTCGGATTAGTATTCATCTCATCGAATTCTGGTGTTTACTGTTCACCCCGCTCATCCATGCTCCTCAACATTTATAGCCGGCCATACGCGCTTATTTGGCTTTTGCACCGTCATCAGCTGATTTCTTTCTTGTTCACCTTCCTACAGGTATCACTACAAGTCCCGTCTGCTACTCGCTGAGTGCAACATCACCGAACACATTGAAGGGGATCAGTGCAAATTCGCTCTCTGGACCGGGCGGGTCCCTCCTGTCCAGGAATACCGCATGGTTTTGAGAGCTGCGACTTTGGAAATGAAGCAGGTCTGTTTATCTAACTTTCCTAAATTACATGGGGCACTTGCCCTCACCAACCATGCAGCCCAATTCACTCCTGAATCTAAATAATCCGCCTTGAGCCCAGGTTATCTATGACTCAGTGTTCCACAACCCTTTACCTCTTTATTAGTCCTTGCAGTGTACGCCAAGTCGCTAATTTATCTTTCACACATCTCTGGTCACTATACACAAAAACGCTTTTTAACTTCTCTGCACAGCTAGTTACAATCGCACCGTATGTTCGTTGGAATTCTTGTGCTTGAGACAAGCACTCCTTACCTGTCATCTTCCTCACAGAGATTCCTATATTCTACCATTCCAAACTCGTTTTCATGATACTGGATTTATCCGGGAGATATACGCATTTATCACTTTAAATTCTTCTTCCAAGATATGGGTTCGTGCGCTACGCGAGGTTATGCGTGAACGCATGTTTTGCGTGCAAAGTCTCTACCAGCATCAACAAAACATCGCTCCTGGCAAACCTGGCACTTTGAACGACGAGGCTGAAATGTTGGATACATACTACATTTTGGAGAACTATCAGGTTGGTTGATTTTCATATTCAATCATTTTTCCTCTTGAATGACACACTGCATTTTTTGACTGAATACATTCCATTCCTCTGCGACTCGGTCATTGGAGCACCGAACTACACTTCCCCATAACTACTCACGCGCGCGTAAAACACTCTGATGATGTCCACATATTTCTCGGGCACATTTTTCCTAGAAGAACAATTCCAAAGGGCACATCGATCTAGCGAAGCGAAGATACCTTTGCTTTCAAAAATATAGGCTAAAATGGGTCGCCCATGTAAGTGGCAGTGCTCCAATAACTACCGCAAAGTGACGATATCACCTATGCTATCTCGATTTGGACGAAACCTGGCTTGCTTTTCACGAAGTTGTCTTTCACGCGTGCTAGTCAATATGTGAATGACTACAGAAGCAGGCAGCTTAGAGGCGATTGAAATTAAGCCGATAACTATGATTGTCGCGTGCCGAACGTAAGCCTTCCTTGAAAATAGCGACAATAATTAGGCAGCTGCATTCGGTTGAAATAGATTTCATGCCCTCAACTTTTCGCTTAACGAATACATTATAGCACGTCTCTTCTATTTGAATGAGGTTGCGATATGTTTGCCCGATGCTGCTGGCTTATTTAATTCCCGCACTCTAATTTCACGCGCGACTTCTGCACAAAACGCCGGATCCACTTAGACATCCCATGATTCAGGGTAAGCACTGACTTGTATGAAAGCTGATAGTTATAGCCTATCATGTTTTTTTATTGTCAGCTCAATATTCTCAGCGTTTTGATATTGATGAGCCGTCCACTCTCGTCTCATATCATCATCAACAACAGTAGCAGTACATCAGCCATTTGTACTAATGGTTCGCTGCCATACAACCATAATGACCTATGAAATAAAGAATAATAAGCTTGAGAGAGGGGGAATTTACCGGAAAATCCTTATGCCCTAAGCAAACATTCAGGGTAAAGGCGCCTACACCTTGAGTTAGCAACATACCGTCACAAATAGCTGACTATCGTGCAAAGATAAGGTGGCATCGGCGAGACAGCTTCCTTGCGGCTTTCACTGCCCCGCGTCATAATCAGTCATTACCTCGCCGATAACTCAGCACCAAACACACTTTAAACAGGTAATCCAATTAGGAGATGGCAGCAGATGTGCCACTGATGTCGGTTGCGAGCCAAGTCCTGTAAAGTCTTGAGACAAGCACAAGGCGAGTCACGTGCGCTCCAGTCCGGAAGGCGAGACGAACCAACGGCAACCAGTTTGATCGTCAGTGACTTCATTTCCCGCTGTCAAGTCTACTTCTGTTCACCTTGAGCTTTACACCACCCTACACCTGGCAGACTGAACAAGGCCCTTCTAGGTAAGCGGTGACCAAGCATATGTAGCACGTGCCAAAGCCAACGCAAATTATTTGCTACTATCTGTTGTTCCAACGAGCCAGCATGATTATCACTACCTAGTACTCGTCTGCGCACATCATCGTTGCGGACACGCTGGTGCCATTCGACACCAGCAATGCTTCGCAGACGACGATGATCAAAGACTTGAAGGCACCCTAGATCTTCAGACCGAAGGGGCCAAGTTTCACTCACATAGAGCAGAATTCCCCTCACTCTAGCCTTGTATACCCGGCCTTTCAGACGGAGGAAACTCCCTTCTGTCACCAAAGATGCCGCATTTTCAAGAAGGCAGTTCTGGCCTTTGCAATGCGTGAGCTGACGTCAGTTACTATGCGCCCATCATTGCTGATGCAGCTGCCAAAATAAGTGAATTGATCAACCACCTCGAATTCCTCGTTAGCAAAGGTCAAGGGCTCAGCAAGTGGCTGGTGGTCCTGTAGCAACACTTTGCATTTTGAAAGTGCGAAGTGCATACCAAATAATGGGACCACTCTAGACAGGCTATTCAGGGTTGATTGTGTCGTCGCAACATGGTCGAAAATCAAGACGATATCGTCTGTATAATCAAGATCAACTAACCTTTCACAAGACAGCATCTCAACGCCTACATCATGAGATCCTGCAAGAGAACACTCCGTGATAGAGTCCACGACGAAATTGAATGAAAATGAGGAAATCGGACAACCCTGACGAACGCTACTTGTGGTCGGAAAGCTGCCCGACAGGCCAATGTAGACCCTGACGCTGCTTGTAGTGTTCAAGCATAGAGCACGAAGGATGTTCACATATTTCGTGCGAACACCTTTTTGCGCAAGTATTTCGAACAGAATTCAGCGATCGACTGAATCGAACGTACCCTTGAAATCAAGAAACACAACTATTTTGGGTCTGCGGTATGCTTGGCGCTGCTCTAGCACCTGCAGCACAGTGAATATATGGTCTATACAGCCACCTGGGCGGAAAACTACATGCTCTTCCCTACTCCGAGATTCCCGTTCCACAGTAAGGCAACGAACGAGAATCGAGGCCCGTAATTTTGTCACAACTGGCGGTAGGCTAATACCCCCGTGGTTAGAACAGTCTGTGCGACCGCCCTTCTTGTAGATTGCCACTATAATCTATTCGATACAATTAGCCGGGACACTCTCTTCCTTCCGGATACTTTCGAATAGGGAGGTCAGTGTTTTGCAGAGGACCTCATCTCCATCCTTAAATAGTGCAGGTAGGAGAGAATCCGGGCCAGTGGCACGAAAACGATTAAGGGCTGTGATCGCGTTTCGGACCTCGGCCTCCTACGGAGGCTCTAAACTAACCGTCTATAGCTCGTCCTGCATCCCCTGAGTAAGAAGACGTCCGAGAGCAGGGGGGCCAGCTGAATTGATCTTGAAAGTGTTCCGCCCAACTAGCCATACAGCGCTCTTTATTGTGTATCAGCGCACCCGCGCTGTCTCTGATTGTTTCACTGACGCCTAGTTTCCTGGGACAAGTGGTGCGGATCAGCTGGAAGAGCTTGCGGTAATTTTCTACTGCTCCTGTTTCTTCCATTTCTTGAGCCCTACTGGTCCACTAGGCTTCCTTGTCAGCACGTAAACTCCGCTTTAATTCGCGCCCGTCTGGTCACATTGTGTTCAGAGCCAGCCGGGAGGTATCTTCCGGATTCCACAGGTTCACCGACCTCTCGGATATCCAGTGACTGGTGCAGTGACGATTGATATTGCCACAAGCAGATGCTCCTGCGTCGTGCATGGCGGCCGAGATCCTATTCCACTGAAGCTTACTGTCATTTGGACAAGACAGCGGAAGTTCGGTACACAGTTCTTCTCGATACGGCTGAGACAGTTTTTCAGTTGCCCGTCGGAGAATATGCTTGATGCGTACTTAGGCATGATCAGATTCGACGCAGGTATTCCAGTACCAGCGGCAATCCAGAATGGAACCACGCCACCTGTAACTTTTGGCAATGTGTTCAATTTGGGTCCATCGCTGCTCAGCTACAGGAGGACGCCAAGTGGGACTTTGGCACCCACTGTGTCTGAAAGCAGTGCTACTAAGAAACAACTGGTGCTCCGCACACAGTTGCAGCAGACGCTCGCTGTTGTCAGTCCGTTCGGAGTTAAGCCCATAATTACCACCCAGCTGAGCTTCTGAAGAGCTCAGACGCCCTACTTGTGCGTCAATATCCCCTGCAAGTACTATAATATCTGAAGTAGTAGCGCGTTCAGTTCGTGATAGAATATGTCCTTGACAGCATTAGAATTGCAATCGTTGGGAGCATAAACGGTAATCACAAACTAACACGGTTTTGGTAGAAATTCGTTGCATCTAGACTCACTCAGACAGCCGTTACACGCCCGGAAAAGCACTGTATGCGCGTTTCATCCATTCGGGAATCGTTAGCAGTGTGCATTTCATTGGACCCTGGTAGGGCTGGAACCCGCAATTTGACTGTTGCCAGTACGTGGTTGAGACTGCTGAGCTACGGGGACGGCAATGACCATTGTAAATGCGTTACTAGATGTGATATAGCGCCGCTCCCTACTACCTATACCATTCAACTCCCCCTACTACTCTTCTGTAATCAGTACACAGACCAAACTGCTTATAATGTCACAAGTTAATTGGCGGTTTAAGTTTGGTAAGCTCATCGCTTGGTGAGGAGGCTACCCTGTCCAGTGCAGGGCAGTAACGTGTAAGTCAGTGGATAGTGAGCGGCGCTATATCACATCTAGTAACTTATTTACGATGGCCGTTGCCGTCCCCCGTAGTTCAGCGGTCTTAACCACGGACTGGCAACAGTCGAGTTGCGGATTCGAGCCCTACCAGGGTCCAATGAAATGCACACTGCTAACGACTCCCGAAAGGATGAAACGCGCGTACAGTGCTTTTCCGGGCGTGTGACAGCTGTCTGAGTCTACATGTGACGAATTTCTACCTATACCATTCAACTTTCCCTCATCATCATCATAATACACCTTATCTAGAGGTGGGAAACACCTCAGCTATTGTGCCGCAATACATAGAAAAAAGGAGCAAATGTGTAACAGGTGCAAGCCAGCTGAGCTACCCGTAACCAATGAGCATCGTTCCAGTAAGCTACCAGTCAGCTACTATGCAGCAAAAAATGATCATGCAAAATTATATAAGGCTAACTAATGGGATCGTGGTTGGACCCCAACCAAGGGAGCCGAGACGCTCCAACCTAGGCCAGCTCCGAAGTGAGGGCCTTCATTCCTCTTGACCAAGTCATCGCTTGGTCACCTCTCCTCTTCTTCCATTCACACTTCCGGCGCGCAAAGAACGCACGTCGTGGGAGTCGAGTTTTGCAGAGTGAGTTTTGCAGAAATGGACACCATCCCATTTCAAACCCCTAACCTGGAGGACCAGGAGACTGAGTCTGTCTTATCTCTTTCCATTGACCAACCTAGTAGGAGTAGCTCTCAAGTTGCCCGGAGACACCACCCAGTATAGCTCAATGGGTCAAGGCGGTAGGCAAACCGTCGCACCACGTTAAGGTCCAGTTTCGTTCGCTAACATCGGATGCTCAGCTACCTGTCTGATTTATGAGGCATGATAGTTTGTGATGGTTTCAATGAGCATCGGCTG